TTATTTTTTATTTTATATTTTAGGAGAATATAAACATAAAAGTATGGATTATTAGTTAAAAAGTGGTGACAAAAATTGCATTATATACACAAGACATTAAAGTGGGAATGCTAGAAATAATGAAACTGATGCACTGCAGCTAGAACAAGAGAAAGAAAATAGCATTTTCATTGGACACAATTTTTTGTTTGTGACCTTTATTGATTAAGCTGACTGCTTCTGATGAAAAAGTTTGTTTTGGTAATAAAAACAGTGATGCCTTAGATAACATTTTTTAGTATACTGAAACACAAAAGAAAATATGTGTGCATATAATGTATTGCATTAAAATTACACTATAACAACGCAAAAGTCAGTTAGAGGCAGATAACTGCTATCTTTCCACTATCTCTGTGTTGGGCATAGTTATATTCAAATCATCACCAATGACATTGGAAAACACCACAATTTTTTTACATTGTATCTTTCCTAGTTTTAAAATTATTTCAGATAGATTATTGTTCAATCAAATGGACATACACAGGATAGCATTGTTAGTACTTAAAAAGGCTTCTAGTCAGGACAGTGGACAGCCCAGGGTGCTTTTCTGCATCATGTGGGATAGGGACTGTGAGCCTGAGAAGTAATATTTTGTTAAGAGCAGTGACTTGTAAATAGCTTTTCTCTGAAGGGACTGCTTACACTTTTCCTTGAGAATGGTATGAAAACCATGCCCGAATAGATATACATTTATGTAAACATACAAATTTTGCATCCTTGAAAGCATTTCACTGATTCTGTGAATATGATGTATAATATATAATCACCCTATAGCCACTTTCTAAGTTGAGTCTGTTCTCAAGGTACAAATCTCCATCTCAGTTCTAACAATAACTATTTGCATTATTAACCAGGAATCTTGTCAACACAACTTGGAGCCTATCTTAACTCAGACAGAAATCCCAAGGCTTATTTCCTCTTAACTCAGGAACGAGACAAGGATGTCCACTCTCTTCACTTCTCTTCAATTTAGTATTAGAATGCCTAGCTACAGCAATAAGACAAGCTGCAAACATAAAAGGGATTCAAATAGGGAAAGATGAAGTAAAACTCTCCCTCTTTGTAGATGACATGATCTTGTATTTAAAAAATCCCACGGCCTCCACTTCCAAATTTCTCGAGCTGATTCGAAACTTTGGCAAACTTGGTTGGGGGTGGGGGGGCGCTGGTAGATGAGAAGATGGGAAGGGATGGGAAGGGGAAACTAAGGAGGAGGCAACAATGCTTGATAAGAAATGTACTCATTATCTTGCCCATGTAATTGTAACCCCTCTGTACGGTATTTTCACAATAAAAAAGAAAGAAAGAAAGAAATCCCAAGGCTTGATACGGTAGGTTAAAAATAGAATTTTCCAAATTAAATTAAGTGAAGTAAGCCAGGCCCAAAGAAACATAGGTCCCATGGTTTCCCTTATTTGCAATAACTAGTATATGTCTGGGACAAGCAGGAAAGGTCAAAAGCTATGTACATATGACCAGATAAGATGATCTTAAGCGAAATGAACCCCAAGATAGGGACACAGGTGGTTTTTTTCTTTCTTGCTATTGTTGCTAACGTATTTATAGCATACTATGTGATTTTTTTTTTGTTTCTTTGTTTGTCCCTCCCCCATGGTATAACCCCTGTTTTCACTGTATTTGATGTCAGTGCCCTGCATCTTGTATATACACTTCCTTAATTCGGGGAGGGGAAGGAAAAAACAAAACGCTTAAATAGGGATACAGGTTGACCCATTGTAACAATGAGATGTACAAGACACTATGTTGAAAAACGAACTTTACAATTTACAGGGGAGGGTGTGGGGGGCGGAGTGTACTTTAGGAGGTGGGAGGGAAGGGATGGTAGGGAAAAAACAAAGGAGAAAATGTACTCATTACCTTGTTCATGTAACTGTAACCCCTCTGTACAGTATTTTTACAATCAAAAAGTATTAAAAATGAATTTTCCAGGAACAAAATTTAACACATCTCTCAAAACTTAGTAACTTAAGAAGTTTAAGAGAGTATAATGATCTCAGTAAGGAAGACTATGTCCTTGGAGAGTCAAATACCTTCTTTTAAGAATGGCAAATGACAGGTATCCTTTAAGCACTCACTTTGGGGTATTTTTATAACCTTCACAATTGAAGTGCAAAACCAATTTCTTAAAGCAAAAGTTTAAACCATGTTTCTAGAGTTTATAAATGCAGTCTGACAAACTTTATTTTCTTCATTATCTGTATCATTTCAAATTAGTACTTATTTTAAACATGTTTTCAGTTACAAATATCATTAACATCCTTTTGTGCAATGAAATATTTTACAAATGTAATTTTATAGTAATACAGTAATGAATTATAGCAAGAATAAAGATATAAAGTTTTACTTTTAAAACAGAATTTTAAGTAATATTGTGGGTTTTGGGTTTTTTTGTTGCTGTTTTGTTGGTCTTGGGGCTTGAACTCTGGGCCTGGGCACAGTCCTGAGCTCTTCATCTCAAGGCAAGTACTCTACCACCAGAGCCACAATGCCACTTCCAGTTTTCTAGTTGTTAATTGGAGATAAGAGCCTCATGGACTTGCCTACCCAGGCTGGCTTTGAACTGTGATCCTTAGATCTCAGCCTCCTGAGTAGCTAGGATTACAATCTTGAGCCACTGGCACCCAGCTATTTTTAAATCAATATAAAATAAACCAAAAATTTGTGCAAATAATCCAACATTTAGAAACAAACTTGAGTTACCTCTAACACATATCAATATATATTTACCATACTTTATTAGAAATTTATCAAAAACTATGAAAAATCAGTATTTGAAAATGAAAGTTTGAGTTTTATTTGATTCATATTAATATAGAACATTATAAGTCTACTAAGATATCTTCAATTCTAACTAAAATCTTTCACAGAAACTTTTAATATTAACCTGTGACTCAATATAAAATTAAAACTTGTATTTTAGCCGGGCCTCAGTGTCTAATGCCTGTAATCCTAGATAATAGGGAGGCTGAGAGCTGAGGATCACAGTTCAAAACCAGCCTGGGCAGTAAAGTCCATAATAATCTTATCATCAATGAACTACCAAAAAGCCAGAAATGGCACTGTGCCTCAAAATGATAGAGCACTAGCCTTGAGCACAAAATTTCAGGGAGAGTACTCAGGCCCTGAGTTCAAATCCAATTAAAAATTGGATATGTTATGATTTAGTATTTACACATGACTAATACCATCTCTTCAATTTTACATTTTAGTATTACTAATAGTGAAAGCTGATCAATGATATTCTAGTCTCCAGTGCCGCTATGCGTTTGCATATATTGCTTTCTTTGTCAAGACTAGGTTCTTTTGACTAAACTAAGGAAAAAATGTCTTTACTTTTTCATATTTTATATGAAACATTAAATGAAAACTTTAACTCCTTTTGACTGACTTTTTAAATTTTTTATGCATGTTAATACTTTTCATGTATTCACAAGCTGATCATTATTATAATTTAAATGTTTATTTTTTCTCCTTAACAGACTTCTACATACTTGAAAATACTTTCCATTTTTGTTTCTCAGAGCCTAGACAAAATTGAACCAATATTTGTAAGCTAGAAATAAATGAATATAACTAAAACATAAAAGTAATATTAACAATAACCAAAGAGGAGAATGTAGTCCAGTGGTAGAATGAAGTCCTAGGTTCAATTCCCAACACTGAACACAAAAAGCAAAGGAAAGAGAGAAAAGATAGACAGGAAAAAAGGAGGAGAAAGAGAAAGTGCAAAAAATAAAGAGAGGAAGGAAGAGAGAAAGGTCCTAAAGTCTTGTAAATATCTTTCTTTGACTTCCACCGTTTTGAACACTAGTAATATCCTAATATCCTCCTTCTCTGAAGTTTAGTCTAATAATAAAATTAGCTCTGCTTAATCAGTAAACATTAGTCATCATTATATAACAAAAACAATAACCAATAACTAAAATGTCAATAATCAATAAAACATGAACTACATTTTCTTTTCTTTATTTTCCTGATATTAGACTACAAGTCTACCTTTTGCTGAATACTTAATAATTATGTAGGTATATTTTAAACTATACATTCAATAAAGTTTTGCTACTTTCCAAAAGAAACATTTCTTTTGAACTCAAAATTAACTCCTAAAGTAATTGCTACACACATTTCAAATATTTTATTTTCAATATTTTTATGAATAAGAGACTTCTTTCATTCTAATTTTCAGATTGCCAATAAAAAGCTATAAAAAATAATGTATAAAACCCTGAAGTTCACTCTTGCGCTCTGAAGTCTCAGAACTTAGGAGAAATGTATTTATTGTAAATCAACACTGTAATACCTGTATTTGGAAATATAAAACATAAATATTCAAGTCCATTAGGTCCACAAACTGTCTTGAGTCACTCTAAAAAGTTCAAAATTGCCATAAATACTCAATTTTAGTATACGTATATAAATTTAAAATGTTTTCAGGAATGTAAGCAAAATTTGTGTAAATAAATGCTATACAAAATTTTCATAAAAATGAACTATTGAAATTAACTAAGTTTTCAATCTTTTTTTTTGAGGGGGGGCAGGCTGTTGTAGGGTTTGAACTCATGGCTTAGGAGCTGTCTCTCAGCTCTTTTGACTCAAGACTAGTGCTCTACCACTTGGAGTCACAACCCCACTTCTGGTTTTTGAGTGGCTAATTGGACATAAAGAGTGACATGGGGCCTTTTCTTCCTAGCTGGCTTTGAACTGCGATTCTCAGATCTCAGCCTCCTGAGTAGCTAGGATTACAGGCGTGAGTCACCAGCGCCCAGCTTAAAAATTCTTTTTAAATATCAGACTATATCTTCAAAATATCTTTCTTACATAAAAGATTTTAATTAGTAAGAGTAAGACACGTTGAAAGAAGTTAGTGGGCACACCGTCACTGCCTTCTACAAATCATTCTTCTCTTTGTCATTGGTCTAAGAGTTACATTATTGACAAACCTCGTATGTTGTTGGGCCAGGAGAGTCCTCTTCGACATCTTGGAAACGCTTTGGTACTTTAACAAATAAGGGAATGGGACAAGATTTCTTCAAAACAGGATCGTATTCTCCAGGCCCTAAGAGGGGAAAAAATACAGAAAACATAATTTAAGTATGTTTTCAAAATTATTGATTTTGGTCAATGAATTTTTCTCTTACATTATATATATATATATATATATATATATATATATATATATATATACATATATATATGTAATACTAGCAATAGTCTCAGGCCCATTTTCTCTGAATGTTTTTTAAATCATTCCATTCAGGGATTTGAAATATAAGCAGAACATGATGATAGCTATTTTCTTGATCATGAAATGTACTATAGCAATGATTTCTAAAACTGAGAAAATGATACTTCTCAAGATACATTCCTATAGATGATGGGTTCATATGAATGATTTTAGTGCCTCTGCTCCATTATTATAGGATGTCTTAAAAGCTTTAAATAGATGACACATTCTAGGCCAATTATTCCAATATCAATTAAATTGATGCTACAGATATCCCATTACAAAGCACTTGGAGGAAGTTAATGTGTTTTGATTTACCAAGTGACAAGTAAAAGTATTTTAGCTAATGTAATCTTTCTATAAAATAGTAGCACACATGATATTAGAATCATATAGTTTATAATTAGAATATAGAGGGATGATGCATATACATATATATAATATATTAACAAAGTTTCACACACAAACTGCATTCATTACTGCAATATCCCAAAAAAGAGAACACAGACTATCATTATCAATAAGTTATTCCAGTCAGTTAATTGAACACTGCAACTTCATCCAGGTGCCAGTAGTTCACACCTGTAAACATAGCTACTCAAGAGACCTGAGATCTGAAGGATTGAGGTACAGAGCCAACATGAACACAAAAGTCTACAAATCTCCATCTCCAATTAACTAGCAAAAAGTTGTGTGGCTCCAGTAGTAAAGTACTAGCTGAGCAAGCAAGCGAAGAAGAGTATGTTCCTCTGAGTTCAAGCCATATTATTCAAACACACACACACACACACACACACACACACACACACACACACACACACACACATCACATATATGACTTTAACCTTAAAGATTTACAAAGGTTGCTACAATAGGTAAGGTTATTATCTATTATGATTGTGATGGTAAATTCCACTTTTAACTATGAAGAAATAGTCTATCATCTGCCGCTTACTATCATGCTATAGCAACTGATATGCATATTCCTCATTATAACTTATTAACAACAAATTATTTCATGTAGTAGACTTCTTTATATTAGAATTCCCTTTGAAGGGTATTAGGTGAGGCAAAACTTCTTGCTACAATTTAGAACTTAGTATACTTTTTTATTGTGAAAATACTGTACAGAGGGGTTACAATTACATGGGCAAGGTAATGAGTACATTTCTTATCAAGCATTGTAGCCTCCTCCTTTGTTTCCCATTCCTATCCCTTCCCATCCTCCCCCTCCCCCGACCCAACCCTCCTCTGCCCCCCACCAAAGTTGTAAAGTTCGTTTTTGACATAATGACTTGTACATCTCATTGTTGCAATGGGTCCACCTGTACACCTTCCCTTGCACAAATTTTACAGACATCAAATACAGTGAAAGCAGGGGTTATACCATGGGGGAGGGACACACAAAGCAACAAAGAAATGATCTTATAAATGTGAGAACTTAGTCTATTTTATGAGTATTTTTTAAATAAATTTTTATTGTGAAAATACTGGACAGAGGGGTTACAGTTACATGAGCAAGGTAATCAGTACATTTCTTATCAAGCATTACTGCCTCCTCCTTTGTTTTTACTCTACCATCCCATCCCTCTCACATCTTCAACTACACTTGCCCACCCTCTGCCTAAATTGTAAAGTTCATTTTTCAACATAGTGTCTTGTACATCTCATTTTTGCAATGGTCAACCTGTATCCCTATATAAACAATTTGTTTTATCTCTTCCCCTCCCCAAATTATACCAACATCAAATACAGTGAAAACAGGGGTTATACCTTGGGGGAAAAACATACAAAGCAACAAAAAAAATCAAATGGTACCTGATAAATATGTTAGAAACAATAACAAGAAAGAAAAAACCACTTGTGTCCCTTTCTTGGGGTTCATTTCATTTAACATTGTCTTACCTAACCTTTTCTGCTTGTCCCAGACATATACTAGTTATTGCAAATAAAGGAAACCATGGGACCTATGTTTCTTTGGGCCTGGCTTACTTCACTTAATACAATTTTTCCAAGTCTTTCCATTTCCTAACAAATGGGGCAATGTCATTCTTTCTGATGGAGGCATAGAATTCCATTGTGTATATATACCACATTTTCTTGATCCATTCATCTACTCAGGGCATCTGAGTTGGTTCCATATCTTAGCTATGGTAAATAATGCTGCAATAAACATAGTTGTGCTGGTAGCTTTAGTGTAGTCTTGTTTGTGATCATTTGGGTAAATGCCCAAAAGTGGGATGGCTGGGTCATAGGGGAGCTCTATGTGAAGTCTTTTGAGGAACCTCCATACTACTTTCCAAAGTGGTTGAACAAGTTTACACTCCCACCAACAATGCAGTAAGGTTCACTTCTGTCTACATCCCCTCCAGCATCTGTTGTTATTAGAGTTCTTGATTATAGCCATTCTAACTGGGGTGAGGTGGTATCTCAATGTTGTTTTGATTTGCATTTCTTTTATGGCTAGGGAGGTTGAGCATTACTTCATGTGTCTATTGGCCATCCTTCTTTCCTCTTCAGAGAAGTTTCTCTTTAAGTCTTTAGCCCACTTATTTATTGGGCAGTTGTTTCTTTGAGAATTTGTTGTTGAGGGATTTAATTTTTTGAGTTCCAAGTATATTTTAGATATGAGACCCTTGTCCGTTGTATGGCTAGTGAAGATCTTCTCCTAATCCGTGGGCTTTCTATTGATCTGCTAGCTATGTCCTTTTCCATACAGAAGATCTGCAGCTTCGTGCAATCCCTTTTACGAGCATTTTCAAAGCTTTATTTCACTTAATCTTAAAAAGCATTTTCAATTATGCACACTACTGTTTCTGTGATGCAGGTCGGAGACTTACATTGCTTCATCAGCTTTGATTCACAGCTGGATTACTCAGAACCTATCTCCTCCTTATACACCAAAATGCCACATTTTAATCATGGGTTATGAGAGAACAACTTCTCCTTCCAAATCAAACACCTATGAAAAGTCTGGCTGAATCATGAATGGTATATAATGGGAAATTCAAGAGCAGGTGATTCTTATAATTACATATTTTCCAGCCCTATGCCAACTTAGTCTCCATGAAATGTCACCTAATGCTACAGGGCAAAAACAGATGGGAACAAGAACAATGAGTAATTTAAAATAAAAATCTTTGCTTCTCTTCCTCCAACATGATCACTCTGTTACATTAGAGTGGACTCAGAAATGGCTATTTCTATAAATGAAGCTGAAAACTCTCAGACTAAAAAAAATGACTGTCTTCACAACGAACTAATATTCATAGGTCACGTGAACATTCTTCCTTAGCAATACTGAACTCTGTTTTCAAGTAGACAGAAATCTACTGAAAAGTACATATCTCATATGCAAGCATATCTTTAGTGATTAAAAAGCATTTAGGAAATTGTTTTTTAATAGCATGACTTTAAAATGTTTTTATAGAACACATTCACACTGATTTTATTCTTCAGCTTTACAAATGAAGTGATAATAAAGACAAAAGATCAGTACACAAAGACATATCATCAAGGTCAGGACCACATGTGTAGGTTTAAGGCTCTTCTATTGTTTCTAAGACTATATTTGGTTGAATGACAATTCATGATCACCATAGAATTAGTCTATGAGATTGAACCTATAGATAATGAGGGAAAAAATGAAGTGGAAAACCACATTATTTTAACCAAACTTCCATATATTATTTTATGTCCCATTAACTTTTCTCCAAAAACAAAATGGCATGATGTATCTTGAGAAATAAAGGAATTTTTCCTTACATACTTCTTTGAATATTTAATTGTTTAAGTCTGAAAGTTTGTATCTTAGTTACTACAGTATATCCAAGAATTGTTACCAATACAGCCCACCAAAAATGTACTATTTCAATATACCCCAAAGTAAGTAGATTGAGAAACATCTACATAAACCATGCACTTGCTGCAATATGTGCTCCTAGCACTGATTAAGCTATAGAGCTGTCATTACTATGACATAGCAATACAAAAATCACGTGAATTTGGCTTGAAATGAAATATCGCTTCTGGCGGCAATGTCCATCTGCACATACATTTTCTCAACTTCTACTATAAGACACTTTAAGTGTATAACTAGGTTTGAACTCCTCTGCCAAAGGCTTTCAGTTCCATTTTAAAATTACAAAGCTTGGAGGTGGGTGAGCTGAACACAGAGAGCAGGTTTAAGGCACTGAAAGTTATCTGTATGATACGATAGTGGTCAACAATTGCTGAAAAAACTAGCACCATTCTACCAAATTCTACCAAACTCTACCAAACAGCAGCAAGAGTAACCCTAAACTTGAGCAGTACTAAAATGAAAAGATAAAGGGAAATTGAAAATGTTGATCAACTTTTTGTTAATTATACATCTTTATCTGGAATAATACTATTAAAAAAAAAAAAAGGTGAAGACCATCACTTAGGACTCCTACTGTCAAAAATCTCAGGTCTAAAAAAGTCAGGCCCTGGTGGCTCCTGCCTGTAATCTTGTTACTCAAGAGGCTTAGATATATGGATTGTGGTTGGGATCCGGCCTGGGCAGGAAAGTCCATGATACCCTTATCTCCAATTAACCAACAAAAAACTGGAAGTGTAGCTATGGCTCAAGTGGTAGAATACTAGTCTTGAGCAGAAAGCCTAAGGACAGTGCTCAGGCCCTGAGTTCAAATCCCAGCATTGGTATAAAAACTAAAAAAAATCTCAGGTTTGGGGGAAAAAATGGCAGATTTCTAAAGAAATTTTCAAAAGTTCCAATCTTCACTTTTCCTGGCTCCTTAGGAATAGCTGATGAGTATTTGATGGAAATGGACATAGAAAGACCAAGGCCT